CAATACAGCATAGTTGCAGGTGCTAAATGTTGGTCCAACCCTAACCTGAGGCTCCAGGTAGCAGTCAATTGCCACTAAAAGTTATATTAGTATGAAAATAATTAACAAGATTATTGATAAAGGTGGAACGCAAAACCGTGCGATAAAGAGACGACAGTCAAGTAAAGTGTTACGTCCCTCTGCAGCCCAAACTGTCCTCGCACTGATAATGGTGGACTGTTTGGGTGTTGCATGGGCTTAATTAAACACCTGATGAGGTGTGGGTGGAAGCATGCCGGGTTGGCTTGGGAGGATACACCATTTCTTGCTGTCCATCATGCTCTCCTGGATGTGTATTCAAGAGGCTCTGAGGACTCAAAAATGTTGGCTGAATAACGTGAATTAAAAAGCTAAAATATTTCAGCCAACTTATATGTGCTTCAAGGGCCTGTAACCGTGAACAGTTTTCATAACAGGAAGGTACAATTTCGTGTGGCTTTGTTAAGTATACTAAAGTTATTTTACAAAAGAAGAAAAAGAAAAACAGCTGATTCTTCCATGGAATGAGCACCCGCGCCCTAGATTTGAACCTGGTATGTCTGATTATTTTAAAAAATGCTTGTTTATTATAAACAAGGCACAGCAGATGGCCCCGCCCCTCCCTGAGCCTGGTTCTGCTGAAGGTTTCTTCCTGTTAAAAGGGAGTTTTTCCTTCCCACTGTCACCAAAGTGCTTGCTCACAGGGGGTCGCGTGATTGTTGGGGTTTTCTCTATTTCCTTTGTTTTATTTTAGGGTCTTTACCTTAAAATATAAAGAGGTTTAATTGATTTTATGTAGATAAAATAAACTGAATTGAATTTTACATTGTGGCTTTATTTACTGAGCTGTAAGAAAAGAACCAAAACTCAATTTTACCATTTATTTCAATGTGCTACAGCAATACACATAGGTGAACTGAAAAAAGGTTTTTTACTGTCAGTTTCTTGTTCTAAGGTCTCCAAAGGTCCTATTGGCTCAATAAAGGGCAAAGATTTAAAAGCAGTTTATGAATTGTTTGACCGTGTAGTGAAAAAAAGGAGGAAAACACACTCTTTATAGCCCCAAAGGCCACAGTAAAATCTTCAAGCTAATCCTGGCATTTTATAAAGTAGAATAAGTAAGAGATTAATTGACTGGCTAACCATTTGACCCGAGCACCAACACTCATTCCTTCATTCCTTTCAAAGGACATGTGGCACTGTGTTGTGAGCTGGCTGTCAGGAGCTGACTCACTCTTTGGTTCGCTCAGAGTGACCGACTCGATGAAGTTCAGCGGAGTCATGTAGAGCTGTCCCTCGTACTCCACCGAACTGAACAGACGAAATCTGTTTTCATAGGAGGACATGTAGGCATCTCCATCATCCAGACCGTAGGTCCTTGTCTGCAAGCACACACAGACACACATGCGCCATGAAATACTGCAAATCATATCAGTGATTACAGTGTCTGAAAGATGCTTCTTATGAAATCCATGGAAGCTTTTTCTGTCACGAAAAGCCTCGCTCACATGGCACAACAAAGAAGCCCATGCTTTAATTCGGTAATGGGGCGCATGTTATGTCAGCCTTATTTTTCATCCCTGCACAGCAGATAATGTCCCTACAACTGCTCAAACCCAGGCAGATCAGAAGGCCGGACTGGTGAAGACAGAGTGGATCTCTCTGTCAGGTGGCACACCGCCAGGTCCACTGGGCACAGAGCAAACACCCGGGGAATGCGTGCCCCCCTCTGCTTAACCATTAAACCCCCTCTAACCACCCCCGCCTCTCATCAAATATCAGCATGTCCGCCAAACTCTGGTGTCCAGTTTCCTGTGTCCCTGGATCGCCCCTTTATGTGGACACCAGTTGAGCTTACCTCCCTCCTAGCCACAGATATCAAAGAAGCAATCTTTTCGCTGCGTGGAGCCAAGCGAGCACATCACACATGGTTTACGAGTTTGTTTACATCCCCCAATGATCTGTAAAAATCTTGTTAGCATTGTCGACACATTTCTGCGGTGCTGTGTAACAGGACACAATGCACGCAGGTTAAACAATTAGAACCAGGCTGCAAAAGTCTGTGTATGAAGCTTATAATTGGTGCTGAGAAGAATAGGTATAAACAGGGGGAGACCTGAATCAGAAACATTTAAAAATCTGCTGAAGTGACAGCAATTACTTGTTTCTTTGGATTTTAATTTATCTATTTATTTATTTTTTGCAGTTGTCCTCTTTGTCTAAATGCTACTAAATATACTTTCCAGTGTGTTTTAATCCTTGAAAGCCAATATTTGATACATGAATTTGGGGGGTTTTAGATTTCTACATCATCAGTGTGACTCCCCCTGATGTAGCAAATATGACACAAATTAAAACTCATATATGCAAATTAATATTTAATTTTTTTATCTGAAGGTTCACAAAAAGGATTTAATTTTCTGGCAATTACTTCATGTTTTAAAGAAGCTTTAAAGAATTAAAATGACTCCTTTGTGTGTTGTTCTGGTTTACAGCTGCTCAGGTGCCATGAATTGTCCTTGCTTTTTGAAAGAAGGCAACGTTGCGCCTGAAAAGCAAAATCACCACAAAGGTTTCATTTACAAAGAAAACATAATATTTTAAAATAACATCCAGTCCTGTTTAGATAAGATGATCACTTACTGGCCACTTTATTAGATACACCTGTCCAAGTTCTTTTAAACACAAATATCTTATCAGCCAATCACATGGAAGCAACTCAATGCATTTAAGCACATAGATGCAGTGAAGAAAACCTGATGGAGTCGAAACTGACCACCAGAATGGGGAAGAAATGTGATTTTTTTTAAGTGACTTTGAACATGGCATGGTTTTTAATGCCAGATTGGGATTTTCCCACACAGCCGTCTCTAGGGTTTACAGCGAGTGGTCTGAAAAAGAGAAAATATCCAGTGAGCAGCAATTCTCTGGGCAAAAATGCCATGTTGATGCCAGAGGTCAGAGGAGAATGGCCAGATTGCTTCAGGCTGATAGGAAAGCAACAGTAACTCAACACAACCAAGGTATGCTGAAGAGCATCTCTGAATGCACAACACGTCTAAGTTTGAAACAGATGGGCTACAGCAGCAGAAGAACAGAGGCTATAATTCACACCAGCTCACCAAAACTGAACAAGAGAAGGTTGGGGAAAAAGACTCCTAGTCTAATGAGTCTCAATTTCTCAAGAGACATTTGGATAGTAGGGCCACAATTTGGCAGAAACAACATGAAAGCATGATCCATCCTGCCTTGTATCGACGGTTTAGGCTGGTGGTGGTGTGTGATGGTGCAGGGCATATTTTCTTGGCACACTTGGGGCTTGTTAGTAACAACTAAGTATCATTTAAACACTATAGCCTACCTGAGTATTGTATCGATTATACTCATCCCCTTATTATCACAGTCTTGACCTCTTGAACATGACAGTGAGTTCACTGCACTCAAATGGCCTCCACAGTCACCGGATCTCAGTCAAACAGAGCACCTTTGGGATGTGCTGATACAGGAGACTCCTATCGTGGAAGTGAAGCCGACACATCAGCAGCAACTGTGTGATGCTGTCAAGTCAACATTGACCAGAACCTCAGAAGAGTGTTTCCACCACCTTGTTGCATTTATGAAATGAAGAATTAAAGCAGCTGTGAAGGTAAAAGAGTGAAACCTGACGGTGCATATGACAAACTGATCCGTGAGAGTATAGATAGAGGAAGTATACTGCAGTATATATCGTCATACTACAAGTCATTCAGACCACTTACAAAATGCTAAAATAGTAAATTATAGAAAAGTATTTTAGAAAACACCACACAGAACAAATTCTGATATTAACAAATACACTGCAGCACAGTATCTGGTTACAAATGCAGTCAGGTGTTCCTCTTATGTTGTCCACCACTTAAATCTACACAGCAGTGCGTACACAACATTAAATGTTCAGTCTTGGCCCATAGGCTGTAAGCCAATCAGGCAAAACCTTCAGTCATGGTGGCCACTTGGCCACGCGATCTGGGACGCCTTTTGACCACTTTTTTTTTTTTTGCCATTTCAGCACCAAAGGTCGCGGATAGCTCCTTATGGTAACGACATATAACTATAACTGTCACTTCACGTGCACGAGGCTGTCTTGGTGATCACGTGCTGGGGTTCAGGTTGCTGCTGTTCATTGAAGATAAACTGAGAGTATTTTTAATTTCTTTCCTCTGTGTGTGTGTG